GCATAATAGTTTACTTAAATAGTATTGTATAATTTCCACCACTTTTATTTTAGGATAAAAGTTATTTCAACCCCCTTATATCCTAATAGAATGATATTCTACTAAGCATCTTAAGAATTGCTCCTTAATTAGGCATTGACCCTAGCAATCACTCATAGCCCTAGAAAAATATTTTTCTTGTATTAAAATATTAAGATTTAAATGAGACTTGGTTAGAACATATTAGAAATGATCTTTCTTTATTAGATTTAAATGAGACTTTGACTTTTAACCGGACACAATAGTGAAAAAGGATTCATGTAGCTGGCCTCACGTAGTGGGACAAAGGCTTGATATTGTTGTTATTGTATTAAAATATTAGACATATGTCTCACTTATTCTACGCATACTTTCCTATTAGTATACTATTCTCTTAGAATCTTAAGCCTAAGATCTAAAATCGTCTATTATAACTTAACTTTAATTGGTTGGGTTAAATTTAGTGGCTATGACAATGTAGCCCAATCCTATCAATATAGATAGATCAAGGTTTGAAAAACAAAAATGCTTTATCAATTGAAATAAATACTAACAAACCCATATGGTTATATCAACTTCTACTCAATAGTTGAATTTCAAGTGTGTAATAATTTTGTTTCTAAATTTAATTCTTCTAAGTCTTAATAAGTTTGATAAAGATTCCTCGGACTATCTAATTTACTCAATCCATTTAAAGTGAACTATAAGAAAATATAAGTTTAACATTCTTAAACAAGATTATATCATCATAAGGAAGGTTTTATACCTAAAGGGTTAGAAAAAATAGTTAATATAGACATTATACACTAACGAACTGCATCAAATTTAAAGAAAAATATTATGAATAGTCAACTATGCCAAGTTGATCTCCCATTCTTCTATATTTACCCCGCCTAAACCCAACCAATTATATGAGAAAAAAAAAATAGTAGATAGTGAGGTAAATTCAATGCTCACTACAGAAAAATCACCCAAAATCGGCGGTTGTAGCAAAGATAACATACCTATAGCATAATGCACAGTACCTACGACCTATTGTAGCATGGATACCGTAGCATCTCTATAGCCAACAATCATCCAGTGGAAGATAAATACACTCAAGAGGTATATATACAGCTAAGGTTTTGATATCGGTCCCTACAGTTGAGGTGGGTTCACTTGTAGATGAACACAACCATTTCTTGTGAGCTACGATGACCACTGAAATTACTTGTGGATAATAATAGTGGATACGTATCAAGTGACGTAAATCCTCTATGGACACAAGTACTTATGCTCTCCGTAAGCAAAGATATAAGGCTACGATAAATCCAAATTCATAGGAGTCGTCGTAGGAAGTTTTTCATGTATGCAAAGTGTCATCTATGAGCAAATATAGAAGACATCTAATTTGCTCTCTCTCTCTTTTCCCTCTATATCTCTATCCCTCTTTCTAGCATCCTCATCTCTACAACACTTGCTTTCTCTCTTTCTCTCTTTATATCTCTCTAGCTCCCTCTTTCAAGCTCTCGCTCTCTCTCTCTCTCCGATCCATATCTCTCTCCCTCTTTCAAACAATTACAACATTACCTCTTGCATATGTCTAGTTTATAACCTAAATCATACAATAAATTACAAAATCTTGCAAATGTCTAGTGAGAACAAATAATCACAGAAAAAAATTCAAATATACCTTGCAATCCCGGTTTTCCTTCAACACCCACGAACACTAGGGCAACCGGTGTGAGATCGACGGTGGCAAGACGAGCGCGAGGTCGAGCTGAGGCCGGAGATAGGCCTCGGTGGCCGGTGTGGCGTCAGTGGCCGGAGAGAGGTCGTCGGCCGGAGATAGGCCACTCAATCGAGCGCGAGGCGAGCTAAGTTGAAGGCGGAGGACGGCCGAAGTGAGAGAACGGAAGAATAAAAATGAAATGGAAGGCTCGGGCTGTTTGTTTTTAGGGCTTAAATCCAATTGAATATGCACATATTGATGTTGTAGTTAGAGACAAAGTCAAATGCCATAAAAAATTTTCCTAAACCGTCAGTGCTGAAATCACTTAACAACGGCGGTGTACGCCGTCGTTACACCGCCGATATTTTTGACAGCCGGCGGTTTCACCGGCGGTCCAATGACACTGCCGCTAATACCGGCGGCATAAACTTAAATAACCACTGGTAGGCCGCCGGTAAAACCCGGCGGCCACACCGCCGCCTAAACCGCCGTTAATACCGGCGGCTATAGAACCGCTGGTCATGGCCGCCGGTAACAGCTGAATTTCCTGTAGTGGCTAAAATCTTTAGTATAATAGTTCTAAATTGGGAAAAAGCAACTTGACCATGATTTGATACATTGAAATGTGAAACTTATTTGGCCATTAAGATAACATCGCTTGCTAATCATCAAGTTACGGAACCACAAGATATTAAACTATTGCTAAAGCATAACCATCCAATCATGCACTCTTGCATTTACATGTTTAAATTTATTCTTGGTATTAATTAATTAGTTCATTTTTTTTATTTCTTTGACACCTTTATTTATTTATTTTGTATTTCTTTGACACTTAGTCATGATCACAATCATTATTAAGGTTGTAGTTAGAGACAAAGTCAAATGCCATAAAAAATTTATAATAAGTTTTAATGTTAAATATGTATAATAATTATTAGTATAAAAATGCATAACAAAGAAATTCTTTATTAAATTATACATCATACCTCCTATATTCCTAAAAAAATTGTTCAACAAAAATCTCAACCATACACATATATTAATCACAGATAATCATTTCAAATGTTAGTCCAATAAGTAGAACTCATATTCTAACATATTAAACATATATACCTAGTTCATCATTATAGCCTCAATAATTTTAGAGAAATCTATCTTTTTAATATATTTAGCTTTATAATCTATGGAAGGATATTTAAGTACAAGTTCATGTCATCATGATTGAAAAATATTCAGACAATCTATGAAAGGTTAATGGATAAAATCCTTAAAGTTTAGATAGGAGTAAACTTAGAATAATGCACTGATGACATAATCATCAACATAAGAGTGATGATGAATTAGACTCCCCATTAATCTTGAATAAACATTCACAAAACTTAAATATATGATATGAAGTTAAATCTCATATAGAATTTATTCAAAGTTTAATCAAAAGAGTACTTGGGAAAATAAATCTATACAAGTGATCAATACAAGAAAATCTAGTTAAAATCAAGGTCTAGCTGGATACAACATCATCCAAATTAATTCAAAGATTGATAAGATTTGTTGGAAAGCTCGCCTTTTTTAGCATATTCATATTTAGGCAATGAAAAAGACGCACCCCTCTATTCAAAGCTCGCTCATAAGAAATTAAATCAGTTTATTTGGGATGACTCTAAGAAATTGATCAAGTAACTTAAGGAATATCTAATTACACACCAATTCTTTGCTATTCGAGGCTAGGAGAAGAACTCTTTATATTCCTTGAGGTAGACACATATGCAATTAGATTGATCCTCATCAAAGAAAAAGGTAAAAAGTATCATTTAACATATTATATTAACAAAACTCTTTGTGGGTCTAATGTGAACTCTCCAACAATCGATAGCTTGGAAATTGCTCTAATTATCATATCTAAGAGATTGATGTTATATTTATAAGTTCATAAATAAAACACATTACTTACATTTCTCTTTGGTATGTACTCCAAAAGCACAAACTATCTGGAAGGTTCAGTAAGTCTTCCATCGGGCTTAGTAAGCTTACAAATGAATGCTTATCACATGCCACCATCAAAGTATAGATGTTCCAAGACTTTGATTTCAATTTTATTATACTAAAAGAACCAAGGATGAAGAAGCCAAGGATTGCCTAGACAATGCATATATATTTATGGGTCCAAGAAAGAACAATAACTAAGTTATGATGCTTCTCAAAAGCTTGAAATGTCTAACTACAACATTATCTCCCTTAGCAAAAAGATCTTCAGTATTATAAATTTTAAAGTCCTCCTACAATTGAATGAAATTGATAAAATTTTCTTCTATCTTTTTGGTGACCATCAACTTCTCCAAATTCTATGATGAGTCATTTACTAAATTTTAAGAATCTCTTCATTTAGGAGACTCATCATATGATTTATGTATAATAATAATAGCAATCATAGACATCAAAAGAGATATCCATTGTTTTAATTTTTATATGTGCTTCTTCAATCTATTCCAAAGCCTTTGAGAAGGCCAATTCATCTTCATAAAATATTAAAAATAAAAAAACAATAATAAAATAAAGGATTAGCAAAACTAATATTTCCAACAACCAATTCAAATACTACAAATATTAATTAGTAGAACTCATCAGTCAGAGTGATGCAAAATATAATATCTTGTTTAATAGAATATCCTTAGTTGGTTGAGAGAAATAGACCTCAGGAATATGATCTACTTAAGATATTTTTGTTCAGATGTGATGAGTAAAGAACCAAATCTAAGACTCTTATACATTTCTCAAAGTAATTGAAAATATATTGAATTATGTGTCATAATGAGTGATTAACTTAGGCTTCGTTTGGGACCACTTTCTTATTGCTTCTTAAAGAAGCTTTTCAAATAGCTACTTTAAGAAGTAGTAAAAAAAATCGTCCTAAACGAAGCTTTTCAAAATGCTACTTTAAGAAGTATTAAAAAAAAAATCGTCCTAAACGAAGCCTTAATGTGACAAGCATGAGCTATATATGAGATTAGCCTATTGAGTACCTCTCAAGTTATTTGTGATTGAATATATACAAGGGATGAATAACCCTTAAGTTGAGCTTGTAATATCTTAGCTTAAAAACTTTAAATTTTATATTCATGAAAATCGCATCAGAATATTTTAGAATTTCTTAAAATAATTTTCTTTTTTCTATCAGTTGTAATAAAAATGGTATTTATGTAAAAGTGACATTTCATATGCTAAATATCTTTCCTCTAACATTCCACTGGCTCGGTATATAATGACTGCGCAGGAGGACGGGTGGGTGGTTTGCCGGGTGTTCAAGAAAAAATCTTTAATGAAAATCGCCGGCGATTCGCACACGAGCAAAGGAATCGACGGCGTGATGAACCCGACCGCCGGGCCGACCTCCCTCGACCGTTCCCGCGCCCTCGCCGCCCAATACCTTAACCAGCAGCAAAGCCTCCACCTCCACCACCAAGCCTACTCCGCCTTCTACAAGCCGGAGATCGCTTTCCACTACCCTCAACTCACGCCGGCGGCGACAAACAACTACCCGCACGTTCAAGTGCACGACCTCCTCTCCAATCACCGGCCGGTGATCGGATACCATGACTTCTCCGTTCTCCCCAATGACTGCGAACCAATGCAGGAAGTCGGGGAAGGGAGGGACCATCATGCGGCAAATGAGTGGGCGTTGATGGATAACTTGGAGGAGAGGTTCACCGGCGCCGGAGCGGTGTCGGCGGTGCAGCAGATGAATGAAATAGCTCAGCAGCGTGGTGCGGAGATGGATTTGTGGGGATATGGGAAGTAGAGATTGTGTATTCTTATTTGATTTGAGTTGTTCGGTTGATATTAATTATTGTTAATATATGGATTATTTGGAGTGTTAATTGGGGATTAAATTCGAATCAGCAAATTTAACGATAACAATTTTTATAATCACGATAGTTATTTTGAGTTAAATTTGTTCATGAAAATTTCTTTTTATTTTGGATTAATTATTGTGCACGGATGTCGAACGTCATATGGAGACCAACTAAAATGTGCGCGGCTCGGTACTACTTGGTACCGCTGATGTGACTGCACCTGATTCGCCTCCAAACGTAGAGCTGCGTCCTACCTCTACACAAAATAATTTCTCTATATTTTGACCACCTCTTTCATCTTTACTCTTATCCGCTCAAATCAAATTCAACATCATCCAAGCCATAATCAAATATCAAGGCTCAAACAAAAAAAAAATTGTTTTTCACTTAAATGCTCAAGTTTGGGTATCAAAATGCTCATCAATGCGGATAGATACCCCAAATTGCTCGTGGTAAGCTCGACTCAACCCAACTAATCTGGAAGATTGGTCTCATGTATCAATCAGACTAAGGATTCGTTTGGGGCGGCTTTCTTACTGCTTCTTAAAGCAACTTTTTAGTATGATATTTAAAATTTTTGTACTAAAAAACTGCTTTAAGAAGCAGTAAGAAAGCCGTCCCAAACGAAGCCTAAATCAGGCTAACAACCAATAAGATCAATTAGAAGAAGTAGCCTCTAGCAAGAAGTATTGGGGCACAATAACAAAATTAAGCAGCATGAAGCATTTGAAGCGACTCGACAACTTACTCAATCCTGGCTAATGACTTCATGCCCCCCTCCCCTATTAGGAAATATTTATTGCATAAGTCATGTAATTAAGGTTTTATTTGGAACAGTTTTCTGTAGTAACTTTTTAGTACAATTTTTTTTAAAAAACAGTGAAAAAATTGTGACTAAAAACTACCTCAAACGAAGCCTAAGAATAGGGGTGGAGGCAGGGTGGGGGCACTAGGGGCACGTGCCCCCACTGGGCGAAATATTTTTTTCCGATAACTTTTTCATATGCAAGCCCGTTGAGTTCTCTCATCCATTAATCTCTCTCTCTCTCTCTCTCTCTCTCTCCTCCTGTTGCAGCTGTTAGGAGGTCTCAATAATTGGTATCAGAGCTTGATCAAGAAAGATCAAGGGGAAGGAAGAATGTGCTTCTTGTAATCAAGAAAAGGAGAAGAGAATGGGAGTAGGTCAGAGGTAGGAAGACTCGGGCGTGTGGATAGCAAGAGGAAAGGCGATGGGCGTAAGTTCAAGGATTGCAGAACGCTTGCGAGGCTAGGCATGCACTATGTGGGGCGTGGGTGGGCACTCTGTGGGGCATGGGAAGACGCATGCAGGGCAACAAGGACAGACAAATCAAATTAAGTAAAGATAGATATCAAACTTTGAAACTTATTCAAGAGCTTCTCTAATTCTTCTTTAATTTATTTCATTAAAATGCTTTTGGTGATCATTGTAATAATATGTTTGTCAAATATTTGTATTATCAGTCTTAAAAAAACAAAATAACCATTAAATAAGAGCATGCACTCTTGAAAAAATTATTAAAGTTCACTAAAATATCATTTTTCATAAAACTAGATCAATTTTTAGAGGATAAAGCATAAGCCTGCCTCTCAAATATAACTTCATTATCAAAATATGTAACTATGGTTTGGTTCTTCACTCATATTTTGTTAAAAGACCATTAGAACTCAACATGTTTTTTTTAACTTCATCATGATATTAATTGCAGTACATGAAAGTTCAAGGGAGGTTGTTAAACCTCGTTGAATTGCCCAATGCACACCAAGGAGTTAAATTGGTTTTTTACTAAAATTTTTCTTTTCAAAAATTCTTTTCTAAAAATATAATTACCAAATTTAAAACTTAAAATTGAAATTGAATTCTCACAATACGGAAGCAAGTCGAATACAATTTTTGTATTTTAATTTTATAGAAAACTCAAAAGACAAAGTTATGAAGAATTTTATTTTTCTACCAAATGAATCAAAATCAATCAGAACATTTACAGCATGAATTTGCAGGAAAATTAATTGTAGAAAATAAAAGTATGTAAATAAAGAACAAACATAACATATTTTATAGTGGTTCGACCTACGTCCACTCCACGGAATCCTCTTCTCCAGGTATTGCACTAAACTCTTAGTTTCTCTCATTTAGCCCCAACATCAAAGAGGAGAAGCCCTTATATCAATCTCTTCCACCAACTCAGTGCATGTGGCAGAGTACCATAATCTTTTTCAATCTCTCGATAAGAAAGAGAACCTGAGATTCCTTTTTCACCCTCCTGTTGAATGTAGAGAACCTATGAATCCTTTTTCATGACCCTCCTAGTGAAGGCAGAGAACCCAAGAATCCTTTTTAACCCTCCTAATAAATGCATAGAACCTCAAATCCTTTTTCATTCTCTTAGTGATGATAGAGAACCTCGAATCACTTTCACTTTCTCTAGTGCGACAGACTACTCGAGCCCTTTGGAACCAAAGGTGTCTTCTTCCCAAAAATTCTCTCAAGACAAACATTGATGCATGGAGGAACTCAGGTGCAAGTTTGTCAGAGAAATAGTGTGAAACTCCCTCTCACATTCCCTTGAATCCCACTCTCCCTCTCTCACAAACTTCACCCTTTATCTCTAAAGCTCTAAGCTCTCTCTTCAAGCTTTCTCTCAGAAGAATTAACCCAATGACTGCCAAAAAGACTCTTATAAAGTCTAATGAGAAAACTTAAATAGATGACTTAAAAAAATCCTAATTATTCAATTCAATCATCATTGTTCATATATGATGATCTCATTATCATACAGTACAATCCACATAATTTGATATGTTAATATTATACAATCAATTCAAATATGCACTAGTCGTATTGTACAATGTGCAATTAGTGCAGTTCAATATGTTCAATTCGGCCTATTAGTATTGCACGATTATCAATTAGTATAATACGATTAGTTAAGATCATATTGTAGGAATGAACTATGGTACAATATGATTTGTTCAACTGAATTGTAGTTTGTCTAGGACGAATCCTAGAATGATCAGATATTGCCTTTGTTTATCATACAATATGATCAAGTTTGTACTTTACGATAAAAAAATTAAAATAAAGCAGATTTGATTTATTAATTAAATGATTAAATTAGATAAAATTTGAAACATCGTACAATACTATTAGATTCATACAATACGAATAGAACAAAATTCAAATTCAAATTTTGCCTAATTTAATGAACAACGAGGGTTCTTAAAGTATTTGAATCTCCTATACGATTATGTGGTCATACAATATGATTAGTTTATTTTTATTTTAATTTATTTCTCATTTAATTAAATATTTTAATTAATTTTTTATTACATAAATTGTACAGTATGATCCAGATCATCTAGTACGATCCTCAGAAAAATTAAAATATTTAATTTAACTCCCAGTGTGTGTATGCACGATTGTTAAACTAACATACACATTTACAATACATTCGACTCAAGAAATAAATGAAAATTATAGACTTGTATAGATCAAACCTAAACTATCCAATCTTGAGCCTTAATTCTCTGACAATGTTTGGTGTATGTTGAACATGAAATATCAATACACAAAAAAAAGACATGCAATAATAATATATAAGATAAACTAAATACAATCTAATAATACTTGTTATTATCAAAACACAAACTCAAGCTCCTAGATTGCAACAGTGCAATTAGTGTAAGCTTAATTGTGTGCATTTAAAAATACTATAAATAAAGTTTTGGTGATATTATAATGTCTATTAGAGATAAACACTTAGTGTAAGCTTCATTGTGTTCCCATCATCTCTTTCAATCTAATCATGAAAAATATCTATGAAACATTATTTTTTAGTCAACAATTAACTAAAAATGCCAACAAACAAATTTGAGAGTTAGCGTTTTGTGTCATGGCACAACCATGAATATAAACACCTAAAAAGATGTAAAATTAAAACATACTAAGAGTCAAGCTCAAGATTCACAACTATCCTTGGATTTTTATTTAATATGATTATGTACATTGATAACTTCTAAAAGGATGATTCATGGAACCCTCTCATATAAGATTGCTCACAATACCACTAAATCTTATCATTTAAAAATCAAAAACTTGGTCCTTCTTTAGATCTAAATAATTATCTTTATCTTTAAATTAGGGTAACAATGATAGTCCTTTCCTTTATTATATATCTGATAAGATAGGATTAAGCTTGTCAATGGTCTCTTGATCTAACTTCTAAGGTGCAAGTATATTTTGATTCTTGATTTCTAATTAATCACAAATATATTTAATTGTACCTACCACTTAGCTTGCAAGCTCCACAAATATATTGTAGGTGTTCAATGGATATGTCCAACATCTTTCTTAATTTTTTCATCCTAAATTGAAAGTTTTTTTCATTACATATAGGTGTAAAATTCTCTTCAATTTTTCAACGTTACCCAGCTTCTAAATGAGTTGAGGACAAACTCGAGCATGAGTCATTATAATAACAACCATTAAATTGAAGGTACATTTAGGCTCTAATGATTATAGGATTGGGGTTATTCTTGTATTAATGCTATTCTCCCCAATGTACATTAAGAATCAATTGAGCTCACTCATTTTCTAGTTTTAGATAGATCACAAAGAGATTGTACACTCCAATGGATGCTTTAATATGAAAGTATCCATAAAGCCACGATCATCTCTATCCTATATATTCACAGCATCACCTACTTCTATATCATATATGTCCATAGCATCACATATATCAATTTATGTAGCTTTGTATATAAAATATATGAGATCTTTGAGGAAAATTCTTAATTGAACTATTAATGCTTGGATGTATTTCCTACCAAATGCCCAACCAATTTGGCTATCTTTTGTTCATTCTCCTCCATACAATACATGAATATTCATACTTGCTTCACCTTCAAAAAACATTTAAGCTTCGTT